GCAGGACCCACCTCTTACCAAACCCACACCAAGAACATCCTGCAGCTACCCCAGGGTCGACTCCTCACTCAAGTCCCAAAATTTAACAATTCTGGAAGATGTAAAAGTTCAAACTAATTGAATTTGTACAATAAATACAGACAATATATTGTGACAATAGAGTCAAACACTGGATCAGAGGGTACCCTGGGGAAAAAACCAAGACACTCTGCTGCCATTCTCCTGCCTTTTAAATCCCAGCACATCCACTGGCTCTGCTGCTGGATCTTATCTGTGGCTTCTGAATCAACCTGAACACACTGGGAAACCTGTGCCAGCCTGGCAAATGGTAAGTTGGAGTGTTCATAGCAATGAATATGATACAAAAAGTTCTGGATGGCCACAGCCAATTAATATCTGTATATCAGAATACAACCCATCTGATACCACCATTTATTTTCTGCAAAAATCAGTGGAACTTTCTCCAGTACCACAAACCATGATTAAGAGCTGGACAACAAACCATTACTTCCAAATTATACTCACTCATATGTAAAAGACTGGGGAAAAAATTATTTTTATCTTTTAAGAATCACATAATGAAAGGGATTCTCTGCCTCTTTTAGGGTCTGAATGCATGGTGTATTTGTGCAAATCCTCAATCACACACCACTTTTCCTCAGCTGTATCTGAAGGATAAGTGCTGTTCCACAGGATGCTGACAACTGACACCACCCCAGCACAGCAGCAACACCACCAGGTAGCCAAACAAAGATTTAATAGTCTTCTAGTCTGTCTTAATTTGGAAATTCTACTTCTGGATGGTCAGGATGAATGGAATATGGCTCACCAGGCTGAAATGGCATTAAAATCCACCTGATTTTCCAAGTAACTGTCTCCAGAACTGAACAGCTACACCACTTGTACTGCTGTCACCAGGCAAACAGAGACACCAAGAACCAGTTACCAAGAGGAAAAATGCAAACACTGTTTCAGGAGCTCTGCACTCTGGGCTGGGCTCTGAGGCACTCCCTGCAGGCACAAACTGTTTAGTGAGGGCTGAGGACTTCCCTCAGCATCCCATCCAGGGTTTAGAATCATAGAATCATAGAATAGGTTGGGTTGGAAAAGACCTCCAAGATCATCAAGTCCAACCCCTGATCCAACTCCAATTACTATATCATGGCACTAAGGGCCACATCCAATCTCTTTTTAAAAAGGGACATTTATGGATAACCTAATTTGAATGTGACTATTAAAGGGGACAGTTATGGAATCACAGGATGGTTTGGGTGGGAAGGGACCCTAAAGCCCATATGGTTCAAACCCCCTGCCCCAGGCAGGGATGCCATTCCCCAGACCAAGTTGCTCCTAGCCTAAATTGGTTTTCCTCCACAGAAAAGGTGGCAGGAGCAGAAGCCCAGCGTGCCCTGGGCAGCCACAGAACACTCACTGCACGAGGGGCACAGCTTTTCTGTTCTGTGTGTGACATCCCAGAGATGCAGAGTGGTGAGAGGAATGTTGGTGCACGTCACACATTCCAGGTCACCAAAGACTGGCCTGTTGTAAAACACAGAAGGAACAGAAAAAGCGAGGGGGGAGGGCTTCAAACTGACAGGGATGAGGTTTAGAGTGGATATTAGGAAAAAATATCTCAGGTAGCAAGGCCCTGGCACAGGTTGCCCAGAAAAACTGTGGCTGCCCCATCCCTGGAAGTGTCCAAGGCCAGGTTGGACAACCTGGGATAGAGGAAGGTATTGGGATTGGAACAGGATGAGCTTTAAGGCCCCTGCCAACCCAAACCATTCTGTGACTCTATGAAATTACAGTCACAAACAACAGTAATACTGTCAGTACAACACAAACATTGTTTTGGGGACAGGTACTCAGCACATTTATTACCCAGCAAGACAACAAACCAACACACGCGAGCAGAACAAACAGGTCAGAAGGTCTCTTCAGAACTCAGATGTGCTGCTGGACCTTTTTTCATCACGGAACAACTCCACATAAATCTGAGTCAATGCAACCACTGAACACTGCCAATAAAAGCACCACAAGTCAGTGATGTATTAAGCTCACCTGCAAGTGAGTTTTTAAACAACACTTGGGCATTTCTATCATTAGACAGAGGTTTTGGTTTTATGCTTTTAAAAGCCACAGAGCACCATCCTCTCACCTGAATGAACATGAGGACAGGCAACGCCAAGGAAGTTTATTTGTCAATAGGTCATACCTACTAACAGTTAAAAGTGACCCCCAAAATATTTTTCCATATCTTTAGCCTTTATCTGATGAGATTACCATGTGTCAATCACATCATTTATCCATGAGCACACTCATCTATGGTAAAAAGGGGTTTTTACCTCAACACCCAAGGCAGACAAGTAATAACCAGGACACAGAAAATGTTTGTGCCCATTTCAGTGCCACAGAAGCAACTTCCCTGTGTCCAGTGAAGGCATTCCTTATAAATACTATTACTCTCTATGTATATGATGGGTCACTACCTCTAGTTCATAAAAATTCACCCAAAGGATTATTTCACTCAAGAAATCCTCAATTTTTAGAAATTCACTGGCAGAGGAAAGAAAGGTTATCCCCCATCTTAGGTTTTTGGGGAGGGTTTTACACACATTGTTTCTCTCCTGATGATGCTCATTTCCAGCAGTTGATGAAATGTCTCTTTAGTGGACAATGGAAATTAATGGGCCATCTCAGTACACCTTTTACAGCAACTCTCTACATTTCAGGGGCAGCTGAATGAGAAACAGCCCTTTCATCAAGGAATGATTTAATACTAATAAACTACACCGTCAAACGACTCTCAGTCCTTCTCATCTGGTTCCTACCAGATCATTAATACCAGAGCACGGCAAAGCGCTCCTTCAACCACTGACATCACCATCTCCAATACATTAAAAAAAAAAGAAAAAAAAAGGAAGAAAAAAAAAGGTGAAAAGGAAAAACACATATTCCAATACATCCAGCCTGGCCTCATCCTGCCCCAACCGCTCCCCAACGGCGAGGAGGCCCCTTCCCCCCGGCCCCCAAGGACGGGCCCCGTGCCCGCGTCCCCCCGGGGGCTCCCCCAGCCCCTCACCGCGGCCTCGGGGCGGCTCCCGGGGGCACCCGCAGGGCCCAGGCCCTGCCCCGCAGCCCAGGCGGCCCCACAGGCCCTCGGTCCCCCCGGCCCGTCCTTCAGGGGCCCCGCGGCCCCTCAGCGCGGCCCGGCCCGGGCCGACCCCCGGGGCCGCTTCTCCTTCCCGCTCCCGCAGGCCCGGCCGGGCCGGGGCCTTACTCGGCCGCCCCCCGCCCCGTACCTTGTAGTACACGTCGAACTGGATGTTCTCGGGCAGCGAGCGGATGTCGCGGCGCCGCGCCCGCCCGTAGCTGTCGACCACGGCCGAGATGGCCGTGTTGTACAGCGTCTCGGGCACCCACTCCAGCTCCACCGCCGCCATCTTGGCTGTGCGGAGCCGCCTTCTCCTCCCTCCCTCCCTCCTTCCCTCCGCCTCCCGCCCGCTCCGCCTCGCGGGGCTCCCGCCGCCCTGCCCGCCCCGCCTCACGCCCCGGGGCTCCCGCCGCCTCCCGCCCGTTCCCCTCCTCACGCCCCGGGGCGGGATCCCGCAGCCCTGCCCTCCTCAGTCCCCCTTACGCCCCGGGCCTCTCGTCCATCTACCCGCCCGCTCCGCCTCGCGCCCGGGAGCTCTCGTCTCCCCGCCCGCCTGGTTCCCCTCACGCCCCGGGGGCTCCCGGAGCTCTCGTCTCGCTGCCCGCCTGGTTCCCCTCACGCCCCGGGGCTCCCACCGCGTCCTGCCCGTTCCCCCTCACG